GGACATCGTCAAAGGAGGTGATACTCTACGAGTAGGTCCAAAGATGGCTATTCGAAAAGGCGCGGCTTATCCTGCTTGAATGAAATTAACCTGCGGCTATTGTTCAGTTACGGTGAATCGGTGAATCGACACATACCTGGTGTTCTGTACTCACTAACGCTCCTCGTTCTAGCCTGACAACCAACGGAAATAGTTCCGAAATACCTCGACCGCTGCCACAATCGGACAGTCACGCATTACCTACGCGTCTACTATCACGTGCTTCTTGTCACAACGATCAATAACTTACGAGTCGATTCTCATTTCATCAAGTCAAGTCATCTGCCGCCTTCAGTCGAATATGTGGTTAACGCTTGGATCTGACTGTAAGTAGAGTTTCAGCAATCGCGCATCCTCTCAAGGTGAATCGCTGATATGAAGTGCAGGAGAGGGTATAAATCACCGGCGGTGTCCCACGGAATGGCTCCTTGCTTTATGTTTACATCAAAATGCGCAGGTCCATGTCGTCGCATCTGTCCGTCCGAGGTTGACATGAGGAACTTTCCGCAGCTAAGTGCATCTACCAAACTCGCTGCTTTCGACCACGGCGCTGAGGTCAGCGTTTATTTATCCTGCCAGAGAACCGGTGTTTGGGCTGTTCAGAGCGCTGTGGACTTTCGATTTGGCCGACAACCTATCTCCAAGATAACATGTTTCGGGATGATCGCGCCACCCTACCACATGCACAGCTGTCCAAAAAGTCGTCAGGAGATCCACTGCGCACACCTAATTCCCAGGAGCATTCAGGCACGCTCAAGGCCCCGCAAACATATCTTCCTACCGGCATGTGGCTGTTTCTCACTTGTTGAACCGCCATATCAGGTATATCCCGCGTGCAGCCTTGAGGATGGCGTGATGTGGATTGTTATGCTTCGTTCCCGCGCAGTGGCGAGCTACTTCCCCTAGACACAGTGCTCCATCCGCTCAAAATACCTGCTGGTTTTGACCAATCCAGGGCCCCTCCCAGACGATTCGAAGCACTTCGCGGCCGTAGTTCGGACTGAGCGCGGGGGGAGGGGGGCACAGAGGGTCTCTGATACTGCACAGACGCGTTTCTTCAAGGCTCTCGAGGTAGAAATATATGAGTAAGTTACTTTTTTGGAGTCCCCTCAGTGTTCGCATTGCATTCCGCGTCACGATGTCTTGTACTGCGATGCATACGGTTTGTGGGCTGTGAAGTTAGAGTGTGGCCTATAATATTTCTCATCTTGCGCAAGCATGACACCCGAGTCGCCCATGCCAAATCTGAGGTCGTCTCTCGGAGAGGTTTTTCTGACAAGGATTACATTCTACAAACCACCTAATGTACTTCACATCCTGAGGGGAAAGGACAACAGGAAGCCGTTTAGAACCCGAATGAAAACCACCAAAAGTCCAGTCGTAGGACGACCGAAAAGAATGTAAGACGGGAAGGAGGTATGGAAACAAAGTATACGTCACTCAATTTGCATCTATGACTACACCGAAGTCGACCATGGCACAAGGTTACATGGTAGCAAAATGTCATAAATAGCATAAGCCCAGGGGAGACAAACTGGGATATGTACAAGCTAGAACTAGCCGTCAGGACTTGTAAGAGATTTTTAGCATAGCATAGCAGCGTACCTCCGACAGTTACCCGCTCAATCCTGCCTGCTCAACTCCGCCTGTGTCAAATTAAGCACGAATGCGCCCTTGAAGTTGGCTGGTGGCTCGATGATCTTCACGGGCTTTTTGCTTGGAGCTCCATGCGATGGCCGAACCGCGCCAGATAGTGTGTTTGCGACGGAAGGGAATGGCCGAAGTGGACGTGAAGTGGGGAATGAGGGCGCGTATGACATGGACCGCGTTGGTGCCGGTCTCGACAGGCCGTTCGAGGCAAGAGGGGAGGGTACGTGTGGCCTGACCGCGGCGGGGTTGAACGGAGAGGGCGTAGCGGACATTGTCATGATAGCTAGACCAGAAGACGTGCAATTTAAGATGTGAAGGCCCAGCGAGACGCTATGTAAAATGACTGACCCATTATCGAACGACGCAGGGGCTGTGTTCCGTGGAGATTTGGGGGTCGTAGAGGCGGGAGAGGTCGTGAAGGACGGGAGAGCGGGGCAAGGAGTGGCGACAAGGACCAGCCTGGAGTAGTGTGGGGAGGATATTTATGAGTTCGTCACCGACAACGTCAACCCCAACCGATTGACTGCTTCTCAAGTTTGCTTACGCGCACTGCCAATCACCTTGCCTAATCCGGCACTCAACGCCTTCCACCCGCTTCCATTGCTGTTCAGGCATCTTCTGCCATTCTACCACTCAAATTCCTAAATTTCCTGTCTCTCATGACTGGGAACCACTCCGCACACTACCCATGCTTTTACAGTGACCATTTACCATGTCTCGAGCGAGCTACAGGCGCTTCGGCTGCTTGATGCGAGCTCGGCCGCAGTTGCACCGCGTACGACAGAATTTGGCTCGTGCCCCATCCCCCGCCCTCCAAGTCTCAGCATTCCGTATCGAATTCGCCCCCGATATCCCCGAACTAGATTTACGGCTGCAAGCCACGCCTTCACCCGCCTGCAGTCCAACGGCCGTTCGGCCGACCACGGAGTTCGACGGCTACGCACCGCCCATGATGATGGTAACTTTATTTCATTGTGTCAAACGTAATGCATTGTTTGTTTTCGATTCAGAGATTTGTCTGTTGTGCAGGTCTAATAGGTGGACGTGTGTTCACCGTGCTTGGACAAGCCCATGTCAAGTTTGAACACCTTTGTTAGCTAGACGTGAGACATATACTCGTCTATGTTCCGATAACCCTTCTGTGCGATATCGACACGCCTGGAGGTTGGGTCAAGAAATACATTGGTTACATATTCTGTTCGATATATATGCATCAGATAATCCCGGCGTCGATGATTGAGAAGCGGATGATGACAAGAGTATGATGAAGATACGATCCTAGCTGGAGGAATGGGGGATGAGCGGGACCTGAGCGCCTCGATACGGGCGCCCGCGGTACTGCACCGATAACTGAGGGTGGTAGTGGACACCAAGTGATGTGGCGAGACTGGGTGTTCACCAGCGGGGGGGCATGGAGAGTCATCCACCGGCTCAGCGACCCTCCTATCGTACACAATGTACTGCGCCTGGTAGCCTGAGCCTCCCTACTCCCGACCGCACAGGACGCGTTGTGGCGCCGCGGGCGAGCGTGTCCGCAATGATGGCAACCAGTTCGTGGAACCAAGACCGATGTGACCGACAACTGTCCGATGATGATGCACGTATGCGCCGAGCGATATTCCCGAGCATGCGGGCGAAATGACGGTGGGCCTTGGTCACTGGACATCGACAAGGAGGTTGCGCTCGAGGATGTACTTGCCCTCCTTATACTTCTGTGAGGTCTCGTACGCGTGGTCCTGCATCGTCGCCCGGAAGGCGTCTCGATGAGCGGCGCCGATACGGAAACAGGTCAGATAGATGCGCACGTATTTCCACCCGAGTGTCGTCCCGCATTTGCAGCAGTAGATATCCCGGACGGTATGGTTTCCCGTGGTCATCTGTCTATCCATTGGCTCTCCCTCGACGATGTTTACTCTATTCATGGTGTGAGACACGCGGTCCAGAGATATGAGCAACATACTCACACTCCTTCAAAGAGGTACGCCCGTCCATGCTGACCGTTGAATGCCTGGTGTGCCATAAGCGAATGTTTCGATGCAAATTCTCTATTACTCACTCGAGATATCATCGAGTGAATAGTGGCGAGGTGGGTTCTGCATACAGAGCACCCATAGATACGTGCTCCGTTAAGGTAACGACGGTAGCTCATGCCCATCTTAGCGACTTGCGACCGGGGAGGCAGCGAGCAAACTCGGATGATAGCTCAACGATGGAACGAGGAAGGGACTCGCACAGCTGTGAAGTGGTTTATATAGAGTCGTCGTGTGAAGCAGAGTAATACGGAACCGAGTCAGGAGGATAAAGCAACCCGGGCCATGATGGCACTTGCTCGGGCGTCCACGCGCACCCTTCCAGCCGTCTGCCTTATCCTGCCACCTTGGATGCATGCACCGGTGACACCTCCGCGGCGCTCTTGTTTACACTCTTGTATCATTCCATCAAGGACGATATCTCGTGTTGTTGCGCTTGTACCCATAAAGAAGCATTCCGTTGCTAATCCGAGGGGTGGACATGTCCATGACGTCTGTTAATCGACATAGCCAACGGGCTAGAGCACCGGCCATGGCCCATGCTTACTGGTGACTGGTGCGCCTCGTCCCATGGGTCGTCTCAAAACTGCGCTTTAACACCCCTCGCTGTGAACGCGGTGAAAGCACGCCATGCGGGGACGAGCCGAATGCTCCTATCGATGTTCGCATTCGATGGAGAACATTCTTGCATGTCTATCCCCGTCTGCGATTCTGGCGTGAATGGCACCCTTACCTTTGGATGTCGGCCACAAGGAGACGGACATGCGCCGTACCGCGCATGAGTGGTGTCAGCAGAGCTGGCTGAGTAGCATTTCTCGACGGCACCGTTCTCGGAACTCGCAATGTCAGTCGGGCAGTATTCTGACCCCGGACATGGTACGCAATCGTTTTCCCATCGATGTCTCGTCTATCCGGCACACTGATAGTCCTTTGCACCAACTGCAAGAACCTTCCGTTGGATACTCCTATGCAATTTGATTTGATCACATCTACCTTTCTTGCTACAGGGCATTGTGTTTGGTTCATCGTATATTGCAATTCCGTCAGCAAGCCGAAGTTAATATCAGTGTGTGAACAGAGTATCCAACTTGACCTTGACGTTGACATGTCGATGGCGACAACGAGTTATGATTGTTTTTTACATCCGAGTCTATACAAAGCAAGCCAGTACATGGCGGGGGGGGGAAGAATTCCGCACCAGGTCTTCTTCTCGCGGTCATCTCGACATGGCAGCGACCTTGTGAAACTGTGCTGCGTTCCTTTGCAAAAAAAGGACAAAAATGCTCGGAACGAGGGTCGAACTCGTGACCTCAGGATCGCACTGGCAGGATGATTCCTCATTCGAGGATCATACTCACGTATGAGACCTGCGCTCTAACCAACTGAGCCATCCAAGCTTGCCTACATGATCACATAACAATTCTATATTCGCGTGGTTATAGGCGCCTAGGCGCTTGTGCACTCGCGCTTCCGAACAAGACTTGTCCGCTCTACTCGACGTCCAGGTCACATCCTCCACAGTTACCTGTAGTCTTCTGCTGGATCACTGGGCTTTTCGACTCCCTTGCTGTGCCTGAAAGAGCTCGATCGTAGACCGGTCATCTCCCTTGATCCTTAGCCACAGGCTCGTCGAGATCTCACCTTCGGGTCGCCTGTGGCTGCTCCGCGGCCTCCGCCACACGGACAAGCAAGTACGACAGAACTTCCTGACGGTTTTCTTCCACACTCTATCATACTCTAGCCATTGCTATTCATTTTGCGTTCAATGCCCTCTCACAAGAGACGAGCAGAGGATTCCCTTCTACCGACACGCGCCCCCAAGCAAGCTCGAACAGCGGGCCTGACAAGTCCTACAGAGATCGAAGGACTCGGTGCGCGCTGGGCCAGGACGTTAGGCGACGCGGCACTTCTCGTCGGGAATCTGACTCGACTGTCTTGGGAAACACTCATTTCACCATTTACTGGCGGTACGTCTGTTTAATTCATACAGCTCACATATCAGGGAATCAATTCATACATCAGGCCACACACTGGAAGTCTGCAAACCAGACGAACCTCCAACAGCTCTCCCTTCTCCTCCCCCTTCTCCACCAAAATTTGCACGTCACCCCCCGTTACCAACGCAGGCGCACGCCCGAACCGATCCAATACAACCACCTCGGCCTTCATTCCCACAGGCACCCCCTGTAACTGACCCTTCAAACCACCCAGAACCTCAGCAAGCCCTCGCCGCCCACTCTGGTATTGTCTCGCCTCCAGCCAGCCACGCGACTTCCTCAACATTCGCTTCCTCTTCATCTGCATCAGGCTGGCAGCGTGTCGGCCAAGCTGTTCAGGGAAGACGGAAGAAGGTCGCCGGAAATCACAAGGCGTACATTTCCCGAGAACATATTCATCAGAAACGGGTGAGTAGGACGTGCCGGGTCTCTCGTCCATGGCTCATTCAACTTGATTATGTAGCACAAGGCCCGTGTGCAAGAATCTTGGAAGAAAGACAGGGAGGCTATGGAACGGGAACTGTACGAGCACAGAAAGAATGAAGGCGAGTGGTTTAGGACATGATTACTTTTGTCACTTTGCATTAATCCCTTCTCAGCAGGCTATAAAGCTGATTTTGAGACATTCCAAAGTATGGAGACATTTTCTCATAACAGTTCGGTTCAATGAATTCAGAATTCATCATCGCAGATTATGCAAGATACCGTTCTCAATTGGAATTGCAACGTTTGAGAGAAACGTTGACGCGTGCGTCCTTTCTCACTGCCTTATGTTCAGCAGGAATGAACATTTGTATATAGCATCCCGTTCAGTAACGGACCTGCGCTCTCCTCCAACACAGGCTCTTGAAAACCGGAGACACTCGTTCCACGATGTACGTGGATATCTTGGATGGCCCAGGGTGTGCATTCATGTCACATTTTGTAGGACTTCCTCCAGCGGGCTTTGCAGAGGGCGAGGAAGAGCTTGGATGGGTCGGTACAACTTCACGAAGCGGTACGATCCCCATCAACTGATGTGTTGATGTTCGCAGCCCGAAAGCACCTCAATACACTCCGAACTTCGACGACCTTCGTAAGGACCTTGAAGCCATAGACAAGGGAATCGATTACCGAATACACGGCCAGCCGATCCCCTCGTCACTACCACCTGAAGACGATGCATTCGTGGATGATCTCCTGGAGCGGCAGGGCGTTATTGCGAAGTGCGGACGCGAGCAGGTCACGGACAGAGACATATCTCGCCTCCAGCCACACCAGTGGCTAAATGACGAGATTATCAACTTCTACGGACAGATGATATTGGACCGGTCGGAGTGCAAGGAGAATCCTGGAGGTAACGCCGATGGGCGGAAGAAGTCGCTGAACGTTCATTACTTCAGCACGTTCTTCTGGACGAAGCTCAAGAGCGTTGGGTATGAAAAAGGCCGATTGGCGAAATGGACAAAGAAAGTTAGTTATAGCTGCATGCATGTTGATATTGAACTCTGCTGATATTGCTACTACACTTTCAGATCGATATCTTCTCAAAAAATATCGTACTTATACCCGTGAATCACAATAATGCCCACTGGACAGCTGCTGCTATCAACTTCGACAAGAAGCGGATAGAGTCCCACGATAGCATGGGCATGGGGCGGCAGAGCGTCTTCGACGTAAGGCACCTCTACTCATAGTGACGTTTGGCTCTGCTCACAATTACCGTCAGCTTCTGCGAAAATACTTGGATGCTGAACACCGCAACAAGAAGAACAAACCATTCGACTTTGACGGGTGGTCAGATTACTTTAATGAGGTATATGATTGTTTACAGCCACGCTACGCTAATTACTGAGATGGACCACCAGGATCTCCCACAACAAGAGAACGGATGGGACTGTGGAGTCTTTACTTGCCAGTTCCTAGAGTCATTATCGAGGGGTGAGGAAAGATTCACTTTCCAGCAGGACCACATGCCCTACGTCCGCCGACGGATGCTTTGGGAGATTGGCAAAGTCAAGTTGCGAGATGGTCCATAGTTCTTTGCACGCCAGGTTACCTTTTCTCAGGATATTGATATCTTACATAGTAGTTTGGGGGTATCGTAACTGCGACGATTATAATGGCGTTTTTTTGGCATTCACATCCCTGGCATTGCAATGAATGTTCGCATTTTGAGAGCGGTAGTGAGTGCGCATCCATGGTATGTATCATCGCCGAAACCACCATACAACGATGAAGAACCAGAACACGATGGCGAGGAACACGATATACCACAGCCAACGGCACCCCTGGCGCGCCGCCATGTTGTTCATGCGCCGAAACGTGCCCCCGAGGATTCCAGACGTCTCCGCGAATGCGTCGTTCTACGTCTTTGATCAGAACATGCAAATAGAGAGAACAAGAAGACACACCATCTGACTGAGCTGTACTGTAGACTCACGTACTTCGTTTCCAATACCAATAGTAATCTAGAGAAGCGTCATGCACTGTCAGCATCTCTCGTGTTCATTGGATTCTCAGAAACTCACTCACATCCTTGAGCATCTTCACTTTCGCGGAGAGTCCCTCAAGCGCCTCGTCATTCTGGCCCTCCAGGTCATCCGCAAAACGATGCCCGGTGGCTTGATACGGATTCGCGCCATCATAAGGCGAGGACCGACCGGAGGACGGGGGTGTGTAGTAGTCGGATACACCGAGCAACTGCGAACGATCACGAAGCGACGTCTGTGCGGATGTCCTGAATCTGCAGCAAGCTGAGTGTGCACTGCCACAAACAACGTCCTGTCCGTGCTCACCGTTGTGACATATTGGGTGAACAGGCCTGCTGCAAATGTCCTCATATGAGCCTTACAGTTGACCCAAGTCGGTCGGCGGCGTCAAGGTAGCGGTAGTACACGTACAAGCGTGGCACGCGTCTCACAGTGATCGCCGCAGAAATAGTTGTCAGCAAACATTTTCCGGATCTCACTATTGATGACGTTACAGAGCCTTCGACTGCATTGAATTATTCCAGCTAATAATACAATCATCGAGGGAGACCAACCCTGTAATCTCCGGGACAGCTGCAACAAGGAGAGATAAGTGTTTGGGTGGTGCAAAACGGACGGGCCGAACAGGACAGATTTATGCGACAGGTGTAGGATAAGGGCGCCAGGATGTAGACCAGCAACAAATGGACCAAGCGCCGATAGATCCGGCAAAGGATGTGTACGAAAGGAATAGGTGAGATACTAATGCAGGTAGGTAAGTACGAACAGGCGAGAAGCGTCCATGGCCGAGCGTGTTCGCGCGCCGAGCGCGAGGACGGGAAGGTGATACATGTCATCGGTACAAGTCCGTGGGCTCCGTAGAGCAACAGTTTACTCTATACTCATCCGGTTTGGATGCGTACTCATAGGGCCCCGATGATGGAAGTCTTGCGATTTCCCGCCTTGCAAGTGGTTGCCGACTGTAGTGACATGAGTGAGAGTAGCTCGACGAATCACGCTTTGACTTACCTCGCGTCTTCAGTCCCCGTCCAAAGTTGTTCATCACCACGAACGCGAAAACGAAGGTGATGAGGAGAAGAATAATCGCAATCATGGCTGCGAAAGAAATTAGAGAGGCTATACAGAGAGTAACTACAACTTACAAAATGTTGTGAGCGTTTTCCAGACAAGGATAAATGTGGGCGTATCTTTGAACCTTAGCACCTTGACGAGCTGTGATCGAGACGATGATTAACACAAATCAGATTGGTGAGCATTTCGCTGACCTTGTACATGAAGTACACCATGGCGGCGACACAACCCGTCATGAAGACCATCATCATGGGTTTGTGTTCACGACGAGCCGCCAGATGTCCGAGGACAAGCACCGCTATGGACAACGGGAGTGCAGCGCAAGTGAGGTAGTACTCGGCGTCATTACTATTGAGGACGAGCCAGATGAACTGGACAGAAAATCCCACCCAGAAGAACACGTCGAACTTGACGAGACAGAGGAAGATCTGGTAATAGGCATACATGCTCTTGATGCGGCGGTCCGCACCAAGGAACTTGTAAACCTTCCAACCGAACTCTGTATAGATCTTCCAACCGAGAGCGATGTAGGCGAGTTCGGCGACGGAGATAACACAGGGTATGACGGTGGTGAGCACCTCGACGGGTATACTACTGAAGCCGTGAGTGTTTGGCGGCAGTGAACTTTGAATTTCGCCGATTTGGATGATGGCATAAACAAGGAACAGTGCATTAAAGATACTACCTTAGGGGTTAACGCCATAGTTGACATATGAAGCTAAGGCGAACACTCACGTCAAGCAAATGAACTGCAAAGTGTTACGCGCATAAACTGCATCCAATGCCATGATGAATTGGAATACGCTTGAGTGAGGTCAGCACCGGTAGATGAAGCACGTCGATGAACATACTGAGCCA